CTGGCCACATTGGAGGTCATAATGAAGATGGCGTCCTTGCAGTCGATGGTTTTCCCTTTTCCATCTGTCAGCCGGCCCTGGGAAAGAATAGCGACTGCACAGTTAGGGAGCTATAAGACTGGGCACCACTTCCAGGAGGTCTCTCCAGAACCCTATGTCTCCCCCACCCCTGGCAGAGTGAGCTGCTCCCTGGATTCTCTGAGCACCGATCTCACACCTCAGTTGCAGTGCTCATTACCATGGGCTGCAACTGCTTCACATACTGAGCACCTCCAGGTGAGAACGCATTTGCTGTATCATCAATCAGGGTGCCTAATCATCCCTGGCACCCAGACGNGGCAGAGTGAGCTGCTCCCTGGATTCTCTGAGCACCGATCTCACACCTCAGTTGCAGTGCTCATTACCATGGGCTGCAACTGCTTCACATACTGAGCACCTCCAGGTGAGAACGCATTTGCTGTATCATCAATCAGGGTGCCTAATCAGCTTGATTTCATATGCATCCATCCAACATACTTTCCTGGAAGCCCAATCTAGTCAAGGATCTGTGTTGGGGTACTGGGGACCCACAAAGCCTTCAACACGCTCCCAGTCTAGAGGAGTGACACTCAGGAAACCAGCAATGACAAGTCAGTGCAGTAAGTGTTATGACAGGGGAAGCCCAGATAGCTGTAGTTCAGAGGAGGGTATTTCACTGGGCCACTGTGAGGACTAGATATGGTCATACTGGAGAAAGTTCCTTAATTAACCAAGTTGTGGAAATGTTCTTTGTTTTGTTTTTTCTCTTTAAGCAAATCTGTCTTTATTAAAATTGTGCAAATGTTCTGAACTGTTATTACTGTAGCAAACACTTATATATTTGTTGAATCAAAATGAAGAAAATGAATTGAAATAGAGAGGGATAGAAAAAACGCTTCTCCTTTAACAAACTTGGGAAGTTTCCTTGGAATCTTTAGCTCTTTCTAGAAGAGACATAAAAGAAAGCATCTATACTGGAGACAGATGCACCAAAGAAAGAGAAAAGGAGCAACAGCACAGGGAAGAGACAGAAGAGTGAGAAAGGTATGGCTGCCCGGGCCATTCAGTTCAAGGGCAAGGAGCTCCACCCACGCAGCAAACCTCGTCTATCACTGTACCACAGCACTTTGCAGTCATTTAGAACAAAAGCAATGAGCAGGGTGTCACTGAAAGGAACTGATGGAGCAACAACAGTGGACACTGTTGGGCACTTCCACCACAGGGACCTGCTTAATGTTTTCTGTGCATTATTGCACTCCACCCACTAGAAGCTCCAAGAAGGCAGAGGCTGGCTCTTGTTCTCGCTTGGTCCTAGAACAGTGTCTGGTGCATTGCAAGTGTTCAGTACCGGCATGGTGAATGCCTAAATCCTCACAACTCCTATAGAGAAACTGAGGCTCAGAGAGGTTAAGTAACTCATTCAAGGTCTCATAGCTAGAGCTGAGGCTCAAACTGATCACAGAGCCATGCCCTTCCCTCTGCACCAGGCTACCATGGTCCCAACAACAGTGCTGGATAAATGAGGCTCCATAAAATTTTCTTTCCCTAAATAAAATTTTCTCAGAATTCTGCCAAATTTAGTTTGCATCCTTTGATCCTTGCCGGAGAGAAGCAACTGGGACAGGTGTGGGAAGAGGGAAACCTGCCTGGGATTTCCTCTGGGTTACAGACAGAGCATAGCTCCTGCCAGGCCAGATAACTTGACTCTGGAGGATAGGTCTGACCTCAGTCTGTCTGCTCCTGCCTGCCCCAGCCTCAGCCAGTAACCAATCCTCTAGATTTTCCCTTTCCCTGTTGGCCTGGCTCACAGGCATTCCTTGCTTCCAAAACTACTACAATGGTAGACCAGCCTTGGTCCTCATACACAATATGGGAAAGAATGTGCATTACCTGAACACCTACTGTATGCTGGGCATGGTACTGGGTGCTTTTCAGCCTCTCTTTACACTGGCCCTTGCATAGGCCTCCAAGGGGATCTATTCAAAAGGGGCCTCATGATCCAGGACCCTGGTCACCTTCCCATCCCTGCCTTGGGGTGGGACAAGGGGAAGGCAAAGGCATAGATGGCTGTTCTTGAGCTTTTGCCATTACCTTCCTGCTTATGGCTTATAATACAACAGAATCCACTCCTTAGTGGGGACCAGGTCTGCATGAGTGTGTGACATGCTCAAGTGCGTGCATATGACACTGTGTTTGCAGAGCTCATTCCTGAGGACTAAGTACAAACTTCGCTATGCTGGCCAGAGCAATAATTAGTGGCAATTTCATTCCGAGAGATCAAAGCTGTGCTCATAACTGGGCCTGAGGATGGGTCTGGGGTGGGTGAGGGGAGCAGGTGCACTGTATGACTGACCCAAGGGTGACTTCATGTCTCCTTGTTTTCAGAGTCCTTGGCAATAAAGATGTGTCCCAAAGAGGGAGCTGTCACTGTCCCACTTCCCAGCAATGACATCCTCCTGGGTGGGGCACAAATGCTGACCCCAGTGTTTTTGGGGCTGTTTTCCCACTGCTTCTATCCTTGAAGGGAGGAACAGAGGGTGGGGTCCTTGGGGGCCTGTCTCTTCCTAGGACTTTGGCCCTGTGCTGTTGGCTCCAGGGTCACCTGGGCCATCACTAGATTTAGCCCTGCTTGGTGTTTTGGTGAGAACAGTAGGGCTCCTGCTTTCTGGACCCAGGCTTGGGAGAACTGGCTGGGTGGGAATGCGGGGCTTCTCTCATGCCCCCAGACTGGATTAGGTAGCCCTACCACTCCCAGCACTTGCTACTTCTGTGCAGCATTCACCACAGTGGGCTGAACTGCTCTTTGTTGCCTGTCTCCCCCACTCATTCATGAACACTGAGGCAGAGACTATTTTGTCTGTGTCCCTCTCTGTCCCACATTGAACCATAGTCCCTTGCTTTGCCTACTACCTCTCTACCAATTCCCCCTTTGACTCTTTTCCTGATAGGTGACATGTTTTAGCCCTCTCCTCTTCTCTGCACACTACACTCTCCCTAGTTGAAAAATCTCATCCTTTCCCTTGAATTCCATTACCCTCTCTGTGCTGGAACATTTTTGAATCTCAGCTTCCAGTCCACACCTCTTCAACTGATTGATGAATGACCGCTTACACATTTCCATCTGGCTGTCTCTCAGGCATGCCTTTTAACAATTCCAAACCTCAGCTGCCCACCTTCCTCGCCAATTTGCAGCTCATCCTGCATTCCCTGCCTCAGCTGATGGCAGCACAGCAGTCCAGTCACCCAGGTCAGAAATCCTGCCGCTCCTCCTCCTTGGCTCCTCCTTCTCTCTTCCCATCCAATCACTGAGCCCTGCACAGTTGACCTCCTAGTAATTCTCCCCATCCCAGGCCTGGCTTTAGATAGGCCTGAACTCTTCAACAATCTCCTCACTGCTCTCTTTTTCCTTCCATCCTCTCACAGCTACCAACAAGAACTTTATAAAATGAAAACCTGACCATGTTTCTCTCTCGTTTAAAATCTTTAAAGGCTCCCTATGATCCACCAAATAAATCTATGCTCCTTTGCCTGGTATTTTAACTGGCTCCAATCTATATAACCCATGTCATCGCCACCACTCTGTTCTCACTTTCCTCTGCATTGGGCAGTACTGAACAGATGTCGTTCCTGGGGCAGGCTGCCTCATGCCCCTATGCTCTACGTATCTGATGTCTGCTGCTGGCCCTTCTCCACTCTCTTCACCTGTCAAACACATTCATCTTTGGAAGGTCTGCTGAATTACCACTGAATTACATTAGTCAACAGAGCATTTCCCTGATGCTGTGGGCTCTGGCAATGGTTGGAGTAGGACAAGGTCCCTGTCCTCAGGAGCACATATGCATATATCTGGCTAAGTAAACTCAGATGGCAGCTTTGGTCAATGGAACCAAGGGCATAAATATCAGAAACTGTAGTGGGCTAGTGGGGGCTGCAGAAGGGAATTATCAACTCCCAAAAAGCAGTCGTGGAATGACAGCAGTAGGGGAGGGGTTGACAGGGCTTCCATGTGGGGCCAACTGTATTTCAGTCAGCAGTTGCTCTCCTTCCTTCTGGGCCAAGGAGGCCATCAGAGGTACCTCTCCAGGGATGTCAGAGGCCAAATGGGCTGCTGGACTCTCCCTTCCTGTGAATGCTTTACTGCCAATCTACCTTTCATCTGGCCCCAGCTGCATGGAAATTATTATTTAAGCTGCAGGCTCTGGAACTGGACTGCCTGGGTTCGAACCTGGATTTCCTCTTTGCAGCTATGTGATCATGGATGAATTACTTGTCTACTTTAGTTTCTCCATTTGTTACATGGAGGCAATAATAATAAGTATCTTCATAAGGTTGTTGGGAGGATTAAAGGAATTGCTCCATGTAAATTTTTTAGAACAGTACCTGGTATATAAAGTACAAACATATCAACTATTATCATGTGTCCTTTCCACCTGTCTACCAGGCAGGGAGTCCTGGAGGGCAGTTTTGGGTCTGGTACATAGCTGAATACCTGAATCCCATCAAGAGTCTGGAACAGAGCAGGAGGTCTCAGAGCACAGGTGTAACTGAATATGTGACATCTGGACTGGTCTTCATTACACAGCAGAGGGTCTGGGGATAGGGAGTAACTGAGGAGCTAGGCAGACAGTGACAAAACTCAGGCAGGGGTAAGGATGCTGGGCCAGGTGGGGAAGGTGGTGGGAAGCTGTAGGGATGTTTGAATGTGGGTCTTCTTGGCTTGGTACCTGGTCTGCTATTTGGTCCAGGGGGAGTTTCTTCATGCACCTCATCTAGTGCACTTGTGACATGGGAAGCAAAACTCCTTCCTGTTTTCCCTGGGCTGGAGGGGCTAAATGGTAAAGGTGGGCTGGACTCCATCTGGCAACATGCTGATTAATATAGCTCCTGCGAGGGAGCAGAAGAGAAGGCTCATCCTGGTTCTTCAGATCCTGGAAAAGGTGGAGGTCACCCTCTCCATGATTATAAGCTCTCCCTCCCCAGCTCAAGGGAAGGAGTGATACAGGGGAGAACTGAGCTCTGAGATCAGATATATTTGCAGCCCAATCCTGGGTCCTCCACATAGTAGCTCTGTGGCCTTGGGCAAGTCATTTATAACCTTTGAACTTCAATTTCTTCATCTGTAAAAAATGAGATTATTTCTACCTTGCCTGGCTGTTGTGATGATTAGTGATACCATCTGTAAAGTCTTTAGCACAGCCTAGTACATAGAATGTGCTGAATAAAAGGGGTTCTCCTCATTTAGAACTTACTCCACGTGTGTGTGTGTGTGTGTTGGTTGGTGGGAGGGGGTTCGCTTTCTCATTTGTGATGAACTTGGAGCTCCTCAGAAGAGCTCCATGAGCCTGAAAGGTTCTTGGAGCTTATCTTGGATCCAGCCTTCTTGTTTGTCACATGAGATCCCTGATGCCTACAGATGAAGCAGAGCTGGAACTACAAGTTCAGGTCTCTCTCTCCTTGCACCTCTGCCCCACTCTGTCTCTCTGGAAGGTAGCCTGGACAGTGACGAAATTTCTACTCTTGGGCAGTGCTGGTCTTCTCTTGAGAGCCCGGCCTGGGCCCTGGTTCAGAGAGGGGGTGAAGCCACATCTGCTAAGTGCTCCCAATGTACACAAAGGGGAGCAGCAAGTCGAGGAATGATCAGACAGGCCTCTGGGTCCTTAGTTCCTACTGTTCACAGACCCCCATACCTCTAGGTGTCCCTGCCTCCATTCCGGCCCAAGCTGACTTTCACCTCGTCAAACAGCTGCAGCATGATGGTGAGCACATCTGGATGGGCCTTGTCCACCTCATCAAAAAGCACCACAGCGTTGGGGCACTGTTTCAGCTTCTTGGTCAGCTGGCCACCCTCCTCATGGCCGACATAGCCTGGTGGGGACCCGATAAACTTGGCCACCTGGGGAAAAGAAGGAAATATGCTATGCTATAAAGGGCTTTCCATGTTTTTAGTTTCCAATTTGGGGGAAGCACGGGGAGATGGCTTTATATACACTCTTAAGACTGCCGATCTCAACAAGGAGTGTTGGCTGTCTCTTGGGGTGGCAGAATTCCTGCCACAATGGGATAACAGATAGATCTTTTCTACGTTTATTCTTCAGAGCAAATCCTATGCAAAGAGATCATATGCTGCACACATATGCCCCCAAAGGACAAATCCCAAGGCTGCTGGAATGATCTCAGGCTCAAATGACAAGCCACATCAAAATACCCAGGCCCTCCAATCCACGCTTTCCCAAGGACTCTCACTCACCTCATGCCGCTCCTGGAACTCAGACATGTCCAGCCTGATGAAGCCCTGTGTGGAAACAAGCAGGAGTACAACTGACAGTAAGGCAGAGGGAAGGGTTAAGGAGAAGAGTATCTCAAATATCCTCTAGGCTTTCAGACCACACCAACTCAAGATCTATCCCATTCTTATGATATGTTCTTTCTGGCTCCTTGCCTCCTTTTCTGTCATCATTCCCTACATGATTCCAGTCCCTGCGTTAACGAACCTAAGTGATATGTCTGCTCTTCTAAATCTGGCCCAGGATGTCTCTTTTCTCAGGCAGGCTTCTCTTGGTCTGGTTACCACATCATCCACCCAGCCCCTGTTCTTCCATCCACTCCACATTTCCTGAGCGCATGCCTGTGTGCTGGGCACTGGAGCTACAACAGTGAACAAGGCTTGGTGTCTGGCCTTGAGGGGTACTGCTCAGTGGCGAGGCAGACATGGACAAATTTAGTCATGATCAGCGTGGATCATGATGACATGTAGGGGAGCAACAAATAGCCAGACAGGTCCATGGTGCCCTGCTCTCACCTTTGCAAGTCCGTGTGGGCACATGCCCCTTTTAGTTTACTTTTCTTTTAAACAAATAAACCTTTTAATTTATTTACGTTTCCTCATTTCATCTAAAAGTCACTCATAACATAGCTTGGAGCCTTTCTCTCACCACTGCTGGGCCTAGGGGTGATCTCCAAGGAAGTGGTCCTCTGAGGTGAGGTCTGACCAGGATTAGCCCCAGGGAAGAGAACACTGGGTAGTGTGGCATTTGTGAGTCAACACAGGCAGAGGACACACTTCTTTTCATGAAGAATTTAGGGAGTTATAAAGGCATTCACAGGTGCCATCTCTCTACCCATACCAGGGTTCCCCACACTCTGCCCTGGCTTCTCTCTTACTGGCACATGCTTCTGTTTGAGAGAGCACACTCACTGACCACAGGTCTCTTGAGAGCTGAGGATGATGGGGTGCCAAGACGCTGGGAGGGAGGTATCTATATCTGAAATGCAGGCCTTAGCTCAGTCTCTGGTCTGAAATTCACTCAGTGATGTACTTCTGGTTTTTCCTCTGTCCTGTCACTCTGTATCCGAGGTACAGAGTGAGCCCCAAGCTGGCAGCCAGGGGCCTTGACTTCCAGTCTCTGTTCTGCCACTATCTGTGTGGCCTTGGATATGCTGTCTCCCCATTTTGAGCTGTAGTTTTTCCTGTGTAACACAGGTCCTTGTTTCCTCTCCTAGTCTCACCAGGGGCCTGAGGAGAGGACCTAACTCAGAGGTGGGAAAGGGCTTGGGAGAGTTATTAAGGTCATGTGGGGGTGATCCCTGCTATCTGAGCACATGGGCATTAGCCAGCAAGCATTTTCAGAGGGCCTCAGACAGCTCAGCCAAGAGAAACACAGGCTTCAGGAAGGGTGGGAGGACATACATGGGGACGCTGGGAGTGCTGCCCAGAGGGAGCAATGGGCTGGAAGCCAAGAGATGGGTGTCTGATAACAGCTGACAGTCACTGAGTGCTTACTATGTGCCTGGCAATGTCTAAGCAAGCTATAAAGGGCTCAGAACATGTACAAGTCTATCATCCCCATCTTACAGATGACAAAACTGAGTCACAGATTAAAGTAACTTGCCCAAAGTCACTCAAGGTTGACAATATGGCTCCAAGTCTATGCTTTTAGCCATTTACTGCCTCATATTTCCAGCTCTATCAATCAGTTGGCTCTTGGCAGTCTTCATCTGAAAAGTTCTAAGTTTTGTGCCCAGATATCAATGCCCCAGGATACTGGGAGTATAGACTAGGGCTTACTTCTATCAAGGGATCTGGGTTCTCACCCTATTTTACTAATTTGTTAAGTAAATTTGAACAAGTCTCAGGGCTTGATTTTCTTGACTGAAATAATTTTGGTTTCATATGAGCTTAGTTTAGGGTTATCTAGAAGAGAGGCAATGATAATGACAGTCATATTCAACACGTATTGATTGCTTACTGTGTGCCAAGAGTGGTGTTTAGCATTTTATATCATTATCTCATTAACATTCATAATAATCCAATGAGATAGGCACCATTATTGAACCCATTTTACAGATGAGAAAACTAATGCAAACTGTGATCCCAGCCAACTCCACATAGTTTAGAGTTGGGATTTGAACACAGGCAGTTGGACTCAGATCCTTGCTCTGACCCCTCTGTCATACTGCCTTGTAACTGCAAGTCTTATGGCTCTACTACCCTATTTCAGGATGAGATCACAAAATAGCACTAAGGTTCTTTCTCAAGGATTATTAACCCTAATAATGGGAATTAATAAAGCTGCTAAATTTGGGAGGAATAGTAAAGGGTAATGAGAGAAAAAATAAGCTCAAAGATCTGATAAAGAAATTATAGTGGTACCTTGGTTTTCGAATATAATCCATTCTGGAAGACCGTTCGAGTTCTGAAACGTTCGAAAACCAAGGGATCAACAGCCGACAGCTAGGCCTCAGGATCTGGCCCTCAGCGGAAGCCGTGTGGCATGTTCAACTTCTGAGGTGTGTTCGAAAACCGAAGCATTTAATTCCGGGTTTATGGCATTCGTAAACTGAAATGTTCATCAACGGAGACATTCGAAAACCGAGGTACTACTGTATAAAAATGTGCAAACAATGCCTGGTGAGGCATCTAGGTCTGGAGATCTGAGTGACTCTACAAATGAGGCAACTAAAGATCAGAGAGCCAGAGCTTGAATTTAAGTCACCAACTCCCAAGGCAGTACTCATTTTATTTAGTCAGGCCAATTTAACACTGGGCCATGTACATGACACTTCCCACACATCACTCCTTGGGTCCTGCAGGCGTCAGGTACCCTGGTTAGATAGCTTATAATCCAGGGCTCTTGGATTTTGAAGGTCTCAAACAAGCCTGTTACATGGCCAGAGAATGTCTATGCTAAACACAGATTCTGTAATCAGGGGTTCTGTAGATGCATTACCTATGATTAAAAAATAAACACATGAATGGTTACATAGGACTTCTCATGCCTCTCATCTCCCTATGTGACACGGGGAAAAATTGACAAATTTACAATCTAGCTTCCTATTGCGTGTGAGAACAATGATACTGAGAGAAGAGTTGAGAGACTGGCCCTGGCCAGTGTTTCTCAGTGGTTAGAGCATTGGCCTGCACAACGAAGGGTCATGGGTTCGATTCCTGGTCAAGGGCACATACCTGGTTTGTAGGTTTAATCCCCAGCCCCAGTCAGAGCACATGTAGGAGGCAGCCGATCAATGTGTCTTTCTCACATCAATGTTTCCTCCCCCCACACACCTTCCACTCTCTCAAAAAAACACCAATGGAAAAAATATCCTCAGGTTGAGGATTAACAACAAAAAATGAGTTGAGAGACTGGATTCTGATTTTACTTCCTCCTTTAACAACTGACCACGGACAGATTCCTTAATGCTATAGGGTCAGTTTTCTCATCTGAAAAGTAGGTTTAATTTAGCATCTGTGCTATTTTCCCCTAAGATCAGATAAGACAGTCACCGGGGCACTGATGTGGGAAGTGTGAGGTGATGAATAAACACGAGACAAGGGAGCAGGCACTTACTACGTGCTGGAGCCTGAGCTCATTTGATGCTCATGACAGCCATAGAGCACTGGACAGCCTCACTGAGACGAGAGAGCTGAACTGTACAGGGGGGTAAAGTAACCTGACCAGGGCCAGTAGAAATGGAACTTGTGTCAAAGAATGACTGGCTCCAGAGTCTGGACCACCCAGCCCACGGTCTCCAAGGGGTGATGGCGTTACTTCCTTCTCCTAGGCGAGATACGTATTGAAAGATGCCATCAGAATACCCTGCACTGGTATAAATGTGCCTCCAACTACACTGATGCTCCAACTGAAAAACAACTTGCAGCATCAGTCTTTTCACAAGCCCCCTCGCCTTTCTACACCAGCAAATCAGCAGATACTTTCCTTCTACTTCCACTGTGTATGAAGACACATTAAGACAGCTCAGATAAGGGGATTATAATTTGTAATTAAATATTAACCTTTCTGACAGTATTAAAATTAAAACACTCAGAATTCTTCATCCCTAATCAGGTGGTTCCTGCCTGTAACTGCATCTTCCCTAATAGTCTTGCTAGTTTATGGCTCTTTCCAAAGTGCTAATTGTTTCAATCGCTGCCAACCTGATGAATTGTCTTAAAAATGCTATTTCAGTTGGAGCATATTAGCATGTCATGTGCTGCTTCTTGCCTGCCTGCCTGTCAAGTGGGTCTGCTCTGGGTTTGGTTGAGGCAAAGCATAGCTACTGGCACAGCCAGTGAGGTTTAGAAGGCTTCAGCCAGTTACTAGGCAGAAGAAGGCCATGGATGCAGCTCAGGAGGACACAGCCTGAATTACCTTGTTTCTGTGGCTGCCAGGCCCTCAGAAGGTGGCAAAGGGGCAGCTAGGTCAGAAGTGGGACAGGAGGTGCCTGGGGCTCTGCTGCTGGGGTAGTTTGGCTGGTGAGGCCTGAGCAATTCTTATCACCTCAGCTGAGAAGGCATTTCAGAGAAATGAGGAAAGGGCACCTGAGGTCATGGGCACCCTGTGGTGGTTGGCAGGGGGATCTTAGCCTCTGCACTGGGAATAAAAATAGCTTCAAAAAAATTCTTAAAAAAGAAATAAAAAAAGAAATCCTATTTAAAAGTTCATGTGGGGTGGAGAGAAATAATGAGACACCATCTTGTTCCTACTTGTTTTCTCCTATAGGCCCCAAGACTCCCTCTGGGATGGCCCTGATGCACAGTAATGGTGTGTTTCTGAAGCTGTTTTCTTCTTCAGACTGAGTTTCTCGGGACAGGGAGAATGTCTAAACACACACAGTTTTTTGAGGAACTTGTATAATTCCTGGCACAGAGCAGATGCTTGAAAATATTTTAAGGATGAATCTCACTTGGTTCTCCCAAGTGCCCCAAGAGTCAGGGCAGGGCAAGGAGTAGCCTTCCTATTTCATAGATGAAGAAACTGAGGGACAAAGAGGTTGGATAACTTGCCCAAATTCCTGGCAAGTTGGGGTGGCCGAGTTGGGGTGAGAGGTGAGGCCTACTTCACGGGCCAGAGCGTATTTTTTTTTTTTAATCCTCACTGGAGTATATGCTTATTCATTTTAGAGGGGGGGGGGAGAGAGGTGAGAAAGAACATCAATTGTTTACCTTCCATAGGTGCTTCGATCGCGATTGAACCCACAACCTACATATGTGTCCTGACCGGAAACAGAACTCCCAACCTTTTAGTACACAGACGACACTCTGACCAACTGAGCCACACTGGCCAGGGCCTTAGCCTGTCTTTTTGATTGGCTATTGCCAGACTCCGGAAGCCTAGGGTTTTATGGGCTAGTAGGAGTGGCGAGGTCTCAATAGCCTGAAGATCAGGCGTAGGTCCCATCCCTTACCTTTTTGGCATCTTTGTGCATATATTTGGCTGTCTGCTTGGCCAGCTCTGTTTTTCCTAGTAAGAAAGGAGGGAGAGGAATTGGGTTAGGACCAGGTAACTATCTCCTGGAATGAAAGAATATTAGAAATGTATGGACACTGAAAATAATATGTTTTATGGATGGAAACGTTGAATCTTGTAGAGGGTCTGTGACTCTCCCAAAGTCGCCAAGGAAATTAAGGGTGAAGCTGGGACCGGAATAAAAGTGTGAATTGCATCTTGATTTTTCTGTGGATGGGATTGAAGCTTTTTCTCTATAGCAGCATCCTAAGAGTGGGAGGTTGACTCTTATAATCCAGACCCAATTTGTTCTTTGAAGTTCAGCACAAACCTTGCCCCTCCAGGAGCACCCTGATCTCCTGGCTCACTGCACTGCATGTCTCTAGACACCCATAACCTTGTCATCCAGCAGGCCTGGAGCCACAGACCAATTAGAGACAGGGAGGGCACCTCTCCTTGGCTTCACAGACTTTCTTTGTAATGTAAAGAGAGAATGACAATACCAAAGTGGTGGCTCTGATGGACATTTGGTATGACGGTCAAGCCTTTGGAAATCACTGTCTAGTTTAGGAAGTCAAGTTCTATAGTACCATGGTGAGGGGATGGTAACCTTTTTGGACCCTATATCTGAGGGACAGCTAAGCCCATAAAAATGCTGAGAGGGAAAGAGGAAGCAACAAAATACCCGAAATTCCCCATCAAGAAACGGCAGGAGGTGGTGGAGCTGGGGGAGTCTGAGGGCAGAGAGTGAGAGGGCAAGAATGCCTCAGCCCAACTGGCTAGAAAAATACCCAATCCATTTTACCGTAGACAATTTTGCTATGCATCTAGCACTGTACTGGCCCTCAGGGACTTCCTTTAGCTTCCTAGAAGGTTACATCTCAGGTTGTATTGAATAAGACTGATGTGCTGGGCAGTGGAGCTGGTTTAACTGTACCCAAAGGGCAGCCTTGGGGGATGCAGAGGGGCTGGAGCAAGGCTACTAGGCCCCAAAGAGCCTGGCCCTCCAGGTGAATGAGGCCCTGCACCCCAGCTTCAAGAGAGAAGCAGCCTTCTAGCTATTCCTACTGTGACAGATGATCCTCTTGCTGGCTCTGTAATTTGGAGGCAGTTGTATTGGGAGCTGGAGTTGAACTAGAGGTAGGTGGCCTGATCGTGGCCCACAGCAGCTGGGGCTCCCCCAGCTCTTCTTCCCCACTGGCTGATCTGCTCTTATTACCTATTCCAGATGATCCCAAGAAGAGGAAGACCAGAGGGTGTTCTTCGTCATACCAGCCATTCTCCTTCCTCCGGATCGCTATGGCCAACACACAAGACGGGACGGGGAGGGAGGCAGATAAATCAATGACACAAAAGGCAGGATAATTATCACTAAGTATACAATATGTTTTACTGCTCTGCGCCCACTCAAAGTCCTCACTACCATTAGTGCTGCCTAATCTGATTAGCTGGCAAGGCCCCTAGAGATACCTAATCAGGTTAGCATGGATTTGGAAAGCTGCCCAGAGCAGATTTCGGATAAAGTTTTCCAGGATGAGCACTCAGCGTTGCCAGGGAAACTGCAAGGCGGGTGGATGGTGAATGGAGGTGAAGGGGGTGGGGGGTTGGTGAAGGAGAATTTGAGAGGAACTTTAGCTCTCAGCTGGTTACCCATCTACTTACCATTGGTGGGAGACTCTGCCTCCTATGCAAATGGAAGAGGCAGAAGCCCACAGGAGGCCCCTGAGGATATGGGGTATGAGCTCTGGACTCTTTCCCATTTGGGAAAACCAAGGTCTGGTCTGCCGTCTGGAAATACAGTCAAACACATTTTCTGGAAGCCAGTTAAAGGTAGTGTGGAGCTCAGGGCCACTTGGTAGTGCGAAGGGGTGGGCCACTTGGTTGGCATCTCCACTAACCATGGCATCCAGGTGTTTGGTGGGGGAAGAAATTGGGGGATTGGAAGGGATCTGTACCAGGTTCCCTAGGGGCACAACTAGCTCTGCTAGAACAAAAGCGTATAATGAAGGGTTGTGCATTTAAGGTAAGAAAATTACATGCCCAAGTCCAGAGTGGGAGAATCAGACTCAGAAGCGTCACTCAAGTATAAGAGCAGGAGGCAGAATAAGGCAGAACAATCAGATGAACCATTTACTGAACATAGTATCTATTAGGCACAGCTGGAAAAATCACCAACATTTTATTACTCAAGACCTACACAACATGCGCATGTTGTGGGCTTGACCCCCCCAGTCGGGGGCATGCAGGAGGCAGCCAATCAATGACTCTCTCATCACTGATGTTTCTATCTCTCTCCCTCTCCCTTCCTCTCTCTGAAATCAATAAAGATATATTAAAAAAAAAAAAAAATGACCTGCACAAACACCCCAAGAGGAAATTCTCAGCTCCATTATTCTGAACAAGAAACTGAGGCAAGAGAGAAAGAGACTTGCCTACGTCACAATTAGATTACTAGTTGACTGGTAGAGATGGCAGAGTCGCTTTTCTCTCTAAACTGGTCCTTTTGTGTCACATACGCTGCTTTAAAAAGTGGGTATCATTTTGAGTTGCATTAATGGTTACATGGCAGTCAGAAGCAGGAGGGGGACAGAGTGCTGTGCAATGTCAAAGAGTTTGCAGATGGAACCACATGTATGGTCTGGTCCCCAGAAAGTCAGGGGCAGATTAGAAAAGGGATGTATGTCAGAGAACAAGGCCTGGAAACCAAGTCAACTAAAAAAGAGTTGATGGTCTTAGGGATGTGTCTACCAGTCTTGAGGTGTAAAGATCCTAAATACTATACTGCGTGGTACAACCCATGTGGATGGGTTTCAAAGAAGAGACTGCAGAAACCAAGGAAGGCTTTTTGGAAGAAGTGGGATTGATGATGTATCATGGAGGCTGGGTAGGATCTGGAGAGGCAAAGGTGGCCAGCATGACCGAAGTGGAGAGACAGGAACACACATGAGCAGTGGTGGGTAGAATCAGATTATTAAGGTCTCAAATGCTAGGAGTTCAGGTCCGTATTGTGGTCTTTCTCATATCAATCTCTAATGGTGCTACCTCAGGTACTTTCTAGTTCTGGTTTCAGCAGAAACAGATGGAAACTGTGTGACTTCATGAACATCACACTAGCAACTTTGCCTGCCCGGGAGACACTGCCTGAAAATCCTGAGAGGGGCCTGAAAAAATGCAATCCAATCTCCTGCCTGGGCTAGGTCCAAGGCATCACTAAACTCACTGGCCCTGTCCTCTGTAAGGCCTGGCTCTTCAGGCAACCCAGAGGCCCCACAGGAACCTGAAGGCTGAGGATGAAGGGGAGAAGTCCAAGCCTGGCTGAGAGGGAGTCCCCAGTGTCCTGAGAGAAACAAGAACCCAGGGGTGGGGGTATTTGGGGAGGTGGAGATATTATAAAACAGCAAAGGCTAGACTTTTGCAAACATTAGGAGTGAATGTCTGTTGGGGTGATAGTGAGGGATCATCTGAAAGGAGTCAAATTCTTCCCAAAACTGGCTGACTTGAGAATCTAGGTTGAAAAGAAGCTGAGCATAAACTGGGTTCAGGCTTCATGGGGTATCTGGGGAGGGAAAAGTGCCCAGGTATCACTTAGACAGGTGGCCTGGGGGGGGGGCTCCCCAGGTGTCAGGTACCTGAGGTTCTGATCTGGACTGCTCTTTCAGGGAGGCTATCCAGCCCCCCGAGAGCTGCACAGCACTGGGTGATGCAGCTCAGACACACTGTGGAGAATGTGCAATTGGATTGTGCCTGGGGCCATCTTTCCCCTTCTTTTCTAATAATGCACCTGGGAGAAAGCTCTTTATAATGCCAGGCAGACCCCTGCACAGCTGTCCCTGGTCAATTCTGCCAGACCCAGGGCACGAGTGTGGGGTGGGCTTGATCTGAGCTCCCTGTGAAACAGGTGAAATGCCAACCATTAAACAATTACAACTCTGGATATTTCTAATAATATCTGAAGAGAAAAATGGCCAAACAGATGGTATTCGACAGAATGAAAAATGAAAGCAGCTAGGAAGGACTGGGGAAGGTGGGCTCCAGGGGGTGTGGTTGGTAGTGTGGCTGAGGACCAAGGCTGGGAGCCTGGAGGGTCCTGTCAGGCCAGGACAGAGGCTGGAACAGACAGAGACCTGAATAGGCCCATGCAGGATGTGGCCATAGGTACTGGTGCTCTCACTGTGAACCAGCGAAGGCAGCATCTCACTCTGCTAACGCTTCACAATCTCTAAAGAGCTTCTGTAGACATAACTTCATTTGAGCCTCTTTATGAACCTGTGAGGCAGGCAGGGCAGGGAACTTGATTCCACTCTATAGATGAGGAAATAATGTACAAAGAAGTTAGGTAACTGGCTCAAGGTTACACAGGTAGATAAATGAATACCCTGGGCTTTACCCCTCTGTTCTGGCTAGCTTTTGAGGAGTTGAGGGAAAGGCTTGCCTCAGCCATAGCACCTCCTCATACCCTTGCCTTACCTGGAAAGCTGTCTGGCTTGAGCAGCCATTCAACACAGGGTTTCAGGAGCCCTGTCCCCTGACCTCTGCTCTTGGGCGTGAGATGGTGCCAGGGTTCCCTTTACTGGCTGGTCTCATCCCTGCAAGCTCCAAGTAGGCTTAGATGCCTCTCCACATGTGGGACCAGAGCCAGTACCTCCTTGCTGGGTTCTTCCCTTACCAGAGCACCTGCTCCTGGCCATGTCTACCACTACTGGACCATCTTAAAACTTACCTGCAACTTTTTTTTTTTTTTCCATTGATTTCAGAGAGAGGGAGGGAGAGGGAGAGATAGAAACATCCATGATAAGAGAGAGTTATTGATTGGCTGCCTCCTGCACATCCCCTACTGGGGATTGAGCCTGCAACCCAGGCATGTGCCCTGACCGGGAATCAAACTGCGATCTCCTGGATCATAAGTCGACGCTCAACCACTAAGCGATGCAGGCCAGGCCAGAAGAGTTTTTTACAAAGCTCACTCCAGCTGAGAGAAGTGATTAAACCAGGAAAAAAGGAGGTAGAGAGACCAATGAGGAGGCTACTGTGTAGTTCAGAGGTCCTGAGCTGGAGCAGTGGTATTAAGAGCAGAGGGGAGAGGCCAGGTTTAAGATGCATTTAAGAGGTAGAATGACAGAGCTTGATACTTGATGGGCTCTAAGCGGGGAGGAGAGAGGGAGGGGCCAACAAAACATCTAAGTTTCTATTTAGGAGACCAGTGAATGGTGGTGCTTTTAGTGAGATGGGAGCACAGGAGATGGGCAGGTTGGAGGAGGGGGACAGAGTCTAGCTCTGAATGTGCTGAACAGACAGCTGGTGGCCTTCCTGAGAACGATGGTGGGAAACTGAGGTTCTGAACTCCAAGGACATCTGCCTGACAGGGTAGGAGGCATCCCTTTCTACCCCATGACCAGGAACAGCTCTGGATTCTGGAAGGAATGCCTTGCTTTCAATGCCAAGGCTCTAGCTTATGGTATGTAGGTTGGCCCAGCTTTGGCTCCAGTGACCTAGAAGACCAAAGAGGCCATAGAGGCCTGGGTTGTGGGGTTGGTGCGTTATCTCCACCATTTGTAAGGTGGTAACTGTGCGCCAGCCTTGCTAGAAGCCCTGCAGCTGGGGATCACACTGATAAATTCACTGTATTACTTTGCACAAATCAATATCCCAGCACTTACCAGGGGTTGATGTGACCGAAATTGGTTTCAGCCAATTCAAGAGGGTAATAAATGGCCATTTATCAAATCAATTCATTCTGCGGCACTTCTCTGGCTACCCATCCTCATGGTACCCCTGGGTGCCAGGGTCTACCCAGCCAGTCCCTAGCACAAATCTGACACTAGCCTAGAGGATCCAGGGAGGCCTGGCCTACCCTCTAGATCTGCTTCCCATTCCTGTACCTCCTTTATCCTTGAGGTCCTAAGGCACTGGCTGCTGACTGCCTACCACAAACCCTGACCCAGAGAGTGCCTCCGGCTTCACCTGGGTGGGTAGCTGGACATTATCTCACCATTATCAGTGTGATCCCCAGCCGCAGGGCTTCTAGCAAGGTGGGCACATAGTTACTGCCTTACAAATGGAGGTGATGACCTATCGGCCCCACAGCCCAGGCTCCAATAGTCTCTTTGCCTTTTCTAAGGTCACTGGGGCCATGGTAGGGTCAACCTACATATCAGAGGCCAAGGAGTAGGGCCCTTCTGATCTGAGGCAGAGTTTTGGTGACAGAATGGAGCTTTGGATAGAAGAAAGCACTCAGGGCAGACATTCTGACAGCCCTTGGAAGGTGGGGAGCTGAATCATCTACTCCTGTGTGGGTCCGAGACAAGGGGAGACAGATGGGTGTGGCAGCAGAGGTCTGTAGGACCAGGGAAAGAGGCCAGCCTGGGGCTGGGACTAAGGACCAGTCCCAGCTTGAAGGAAACAGTTGTGGGCCTGACTTAAAGAGCACAGTGCCCAACCCTAGATGGTCAACATCTTAAGGACAGGGACTAGATTTCATTCAGTGTTGTCTGGCAGTGGAAAGCGTATGTGCTTTATAGTCAGGTTGTCTGGATCAGCTCTGTAGTACACAGCAGAGGAAACCGATGCTCAAAGCAGCTAAATGACTAGCTTGAGTGGCACAGCCGGTAACTGCTGAGCTGCTATTCAAGCCTAGTTTGGTCTAAGTCTTCCCATCTCAATGTCCTCCCTCCCTCCCCCCAACTCTTACTTCTGGCAGCTTCATATCTTATGGGATTGAGAAGCTGGTGAGAAACAGGAGGTCAAGGGAGCAGGCAGCCTGCTGGGAAAGGGCCATGTAAGAAGCAGAGGGAAAACACTATGATGCAGCTGCAGTTCTGGCCCAAGTGCACAGGAGACTCCAGTAGGAGATGCTTTCTTAGCTCTCTGCCCAGGTAATCTATCTCTCCATGGGCTACTCCTTCTCTCTCCAACCAGAGAGCTCCCAGGGTCTCCCCTCCCTCCATTTCAGACACAATGTTGGCAAAGAAGTGGGAAGTTGCCACCTCCAAGATGGTGGCTGAGGATGAATGTCTGTATCTAGACCCAAAAGGGCAGCTTGGTGTGGTTTGTGCCTGAGCAGAGGGGCCTTGTATATTCAAAAAAGCTTTCTCTGGCTCCTGTATGTGCCAGCAGGCAGCCTTCTGACCTCTAACTTGTGAGGCAGCTCTGGTCACCAGGACACTTTTATCTGCTGATTGGGTCAGGCCCCTGACAGCAGCCACGAGTCCCATTGGTGTGTGTGAGAATGATGAAGACCAGGCTGGGCTCTGTGTGTCACAGGGACAACTACCTTCACTTTTCAATTACTCCTCTAATTGGTTTCCTAGGGCTGAAAATGCCACCCCACAATATCCCAGAGGGGCACCACAATTTCAGCCTGATATCTCCTTTATCAGTGAGCAGAACCTGGCACTGTCCCTGGCCACTGCTGAACTGCATCTGGTGCCACCAAATGCTTGGAGAGAAGAAGCAATATGTAAGTGGGACTGACTGAGATACCGCAGGGCAGAGGTTTTTAAACTTGAACTGAAGATCAGAATTGCCTGCAGGGCCTGTTAAAAACATGGGTTGCTGGGCTCCATCCTGTTTCTGATTCCAAAGGACTGGGGCGAGGCCTGAGATCTGCATTTCCAACGAGGTCCCAGAGGATACTGATGACACTGGTCCAGAGACCCTGCTTTGAGAGCCACTGCCTTGGGGGATAGCCCCTTCTCTAAGCTGATCATGGGTTCCTTTGCCCTTGCTGCGTCTGAGGTCACCCTCAGGGGTCATGTACCTGGGTCAGAGAACAATGGTGAGGCCACCACCTTTAGCAGAACCCTAATCCTATATTTCTCTCCAGTGGGGTCAGCATGCGCAGGAGGGCCATTAGATTAGGGGTTATACCAGTGGGCAGTCTGGCTCCCAGGTGTCAAAGTATGGGACATAAGAACTTCTGGGGTGGAGAAGAAAGCACTTAAGACTTGTTCAGGATGTTTTCCCTAAAACTGAGCCAATGGCAGAAGACAAAGTTCTAGTTCTGGCTCAGCTGCTACATTACTAGTGATGGACAAAGCTCCCATTCCTCTCTGGGTCTCAGTTTCCCCACCTGAAAAGTAGGGATGTGGGAAACAATGGACCAGATGATGGTCAGAAATACATTGTAAACAGAGGAAAAGTAGCCTTGAGAAATTATTTAAGTGCTCTGTCTCAGCTTCCTCATCTGAAAAATGGGGATTTAATGGTACCAACCTCACAGGGTTGCAATAAGGATTAAATGACAGAACATGCAAAAGCTTATCACAATGCCTGGCACATAGAAAGTACCTGACAAATATGAAGTTGTAATATTATTAGCTACCTCCCCACAGTTACGGTGACAGCAGGATGTACACTTCACTGCAGCAGACCACGAGCTACCCTGTCCCTTCTGGCACTGGCTAGCATCTTAGATCCTCACCTGCACCCACTGTGGCGATGGCATTCTCCTGGCCAATGATGTGCTCCTTCAGCCGCTGCTCCAGTGGAAATCGGCGCCGCTCCTCAGCTTCACGTTTCCGCTGCTTCTCCTGGTACTGTGGGGGGAGAGCAAAGGTGGCTCAGGAGTGCCAGGCCCAGCGGCATCCCAGCGGCATCCTGGTTTCATTCTATCCTTGACCCAGGGGATAAAACAAGGGCCTGGCTCCCCAGGGGCCAGGATGCACAGCTCTGGCTCAGGACCACTGAAGGCCTAGTCCTTCCTCCGTCCTCTCATTCTACCCCTTCCCCCACCCCCTTACCTCAGATGGCCACTGCCCAGGAGTGTTGGCTCACTCTGCTAGTAAAATAAGTACTACTACTAAAATTACCCTTGACTCTGAAGTCTGACAGAAGACATGGGGTTGAATCCCAGCTTTATCACTTATAGAATGTGCTTATCACCTGGAGTAAGTTACTTCACCTCAGTTTATCTATTAATTAGGGATTAAATATGATGACGTATATAATGTGCCTAGCATTGTGGCTGGCACGCAGTAAGTACTTAGCAAATATAGGTCCCTTTCCCTTTCCACATATCCTCTTGAAAACCTTTTTTGGTTTTTAAATCAGAGCTATGAACACCCTCCACTTCAATGATACTGCATTTCAATTAAACACAATTATTCAGCAATGGCTATGTGCTGGGCCCTGTGACTACCATGATGGAAATGTGGGGCTCCGAGAAGGAAGAGAACTGTGTGCTGCCCCATGGGAGGTTCTAGTGATGATGAGTGCCTGGCATGTGCTGGCCCTGGGCGTAGTCCATTTCAGTAAAGGCACTTACGAAGCTGGGGGACAGGGGAGGGAAGCAGGTCTTAGAGCAGAGAATTCAGGAGCCTCCTTTCCCCTCAGACCCCTATAACACTGACAGATTTCTAGAAAGCAAGCTGCCACGGTAGGGCCCTGTCACTAAAGTTGTGGCTGCAGATTGCTCTTGCGGGCAGAGTGGATGAAAAATACCTGCTGCTTGGGCAGTGTTTTCCTGTTACGGTAGTGACCTTGACAGAAGTTAAAAAAAATAAATAGCAAACAATCCAATTTTGGTTGTTGCTATCAGTCTGTAACTGAAAGCTCCCATCAGTCCTGGGGTTTCATGTGGAGCAATAATTCGGTACCGATCCCAGTGGAGCGACGCTTGCCGGTTGGAATCCAGAGTGTCACTGTGCAGCTCCCTCAGGCGCCACATACATCACCTGGCTCTGACGACTCCAGTCATATATCTGCCTCCTCCTCCTCCTCTCTGCCCACCCAGGCCCTCTCAGCACTCAGGTCCACTAGGCTGGTAGGCTCTGATGGTGAGATACACACAGACTGGCTGGTACAGCCCTGGCCAGTGGGTTGGCTGGCTTGTAGTCAGTCAGGCAAACCATGGAGGGAGCTCACAGCAATGGAAGTTGGCCTCCCATGGTTTGTTGGGTCTGTTTCCTCACTTCCCCTCAGTAATGGGTATCCCTACCTCTAGGCCTTTTGCTCACACTGCTCCCTCACCAGTTAATTCATCTCCTTGAATTTTAGCTTCCTCATCTAACATGGGGATGGTACACATACCTACCTTGCAGGATCCTTGTGGGATACTGGTGGGGATTAAATGAGATAGTGTATACAAAGCACCTGGCACAGTCTCTGGCACACAGCGAATATGTATGTAGAAGTGGTATGTGACAGACTCAAGTGGAGGAGAGCACAGTACCTGGCCCTTGGGAGGCCTTTGATAAATGTTACTTCTCCTTTGCTGCATTTTGATAACCGATTAGGTAATAACCCAGTGCCATTCATTCATTCATTCATTCATTCATTCATTCATTTTTGTACAGGAACTCTTTAAACTAATTTAATTTGCATGGAGCTCCATACATAAAGAGAAGAGTTGCTCTGGCTCAAGCAGAAGCCAGGAGCCAAGTCCACTTGGATGCCCCACTGCCCCAGAAGTAGCCCCTGACTCCTTCCCCTAGGAACCCAGGGTACAGTCCCACCACCAGCAGTGTTCCAAGGACACCTACTGTGGCACATCTCTGCCTGTCAACTTTCCATATGTGGTACAGAATTCCGCCTCTAGGTACTTTCCATCCAATGATCTGTGGGGCCTCATAGAATATATCTTTTTCCTTTGCTGCATGCCAAACCTAATATGACTTTTTCGTCACTTTGTTGTTTTGGGTACAATCACCATGGCCTTCTTGTCTTCTCCAGGGAAACATTTCTACTTCCTGTAACTCTTCTTCAGTGTCATGATTTTAGGCTGTCTTAGAATTCTTGTTATTTTCTTGGGTAAGGGGAAAGGGTCATTAACTTCTATGGGGCTGAGGGTGGGGAAAGGTTACACCGTGATTTGGCTGGTTTCTCAGGAGCTTTCTAGACGACTCTGGGAAACATTTAACCTACGGCCTAAAACTGATTCTCCAACAGCAAGGAGCCCCAAATATCTACTCAGAAAAACTTCTGAAAATGCATAAGAATTCTGGATAAACATGTACAGGATACTGGGATTAAACCAGATAGAAGACTATTGCTTCATGCTCTTTTCCTAATGCTTAGCACAGACTTTGTACCCCCCAAAAATATGTTGAATGAATGACTTGTGAAAAGCTAGCCCAGTGGAAGAACCTAGGAGAGGGAAATACTTGGTTTGCATATACTCTTCTTGGGAAAAAGGAGAGAGAATGGGAGAAGGCACTTTGTAAGGGTTCCATAAATGTGGGCTATGATTGTTCCTGGCTTTTTGGGGAGATGGGGAGGAAGGCTAGAGGGATTAAGGTTAAGGCCATGGTCTGACTGGGTTCTACTAGAGAAGATAAGCAGGTGACCCAGCCTGCAGAGGCAGAGAGTATTGGGCTGAGAGGCACTAGGAAGAAGCCACCCAGGAAAGCCAGAGTGGGGGAGTGATCATCTTCTTAATAAAAGCCATATGCTATTAGCTTCAGAAGCCCTTACCTGGAGCTAGCAGCAACCAGCTCCCTATGCTGCATCTTGGCTGGATAATCGCAGCCACTGGTTTCCATCACTCTTGATTTAATATGGCACCCCTCCTGGCTGTGAGTGCATTTACAGGAAAGGGCTGGGAGGCCGAGGCAAAGCCTAGTTGCACTCACTCACAGGTGGGAAGCTGGACTGAGTGGCTCTACAGGGGAGGGTTACAGGGAGAAAGGGTATGTCAGGCACCATTACTGTTGGGCATCCCTCAGGGAGCAAGTCTGATAATGAACCTGGCAGCGTGTTCACTGAGAGGGTAGCTGAGGCAGGGTGGTATAATGAGACTCTGGGAAAGAATGGGGGTGGAGGGAAGAGAAGAGAGGCCAAGCTGTAGTTTGCCTCTCACAGGAGTTCAGGGACACAGAGCCCACTGGCTGCTCACAGGCAGACTCAGGTATGCCCCGTCCTCTTGACTCCCTGACTCCTACCCCAGCTCACATCATAGTCAGGGTTTCTATTACGCCCTGAAGCTGGGGATGACAGAGAGCTGGGTGGGGAGGTCAACAAAGGGGACTAGGGGGCAACAGATGAGAAGGGAGGGGGATGATGACAAGAACCCTAAGTAGGGGGAATGATGACAAGAGGAGCTCAGGGGTCCAACAAAGGAGCCTAGGGGATGCAGAGCAGATAGAAGGGGAGACTGGAGGATGAGAGAGGCATCTATGGGACTTGAAAGTCTCTTGAACTGGCTCATAAAGTACATATTCCTGTAGAGGAAGGCTGGGCACAGAGCAGGCTTGGCGACCACTATGTCAACATCCTGGATTCCATTCTCCTCTCTTCCAGACCGTCCTCCTGTTGCTGCCAGAGTATTATTAACATGTAAATTGGATCATGTCACTCCTCTGCAAATATCGGGTTGATCCAGAGACAAGACTGGTGAGGAAAGGTTAAGAGGGGCAAGCAGTGGCTGAAGTGAGAAAATGAGTTGTGTTCGACTCAGTGCATCAAACCAGGAGGCACCTGATGGTACTGTATCCTATAACTGGTGATGTTGACTTTGATCACTTGGTTAAGGTGGTCTGCCCCAGGTTTCTCCTCTATCATTTTTCTCTTTGCAATTAATAAGTATCTTGTGGGGTGAGACTCTGAGACTATGTAAATGTCCTGTTATTCCTCAAACTTCCATTCACTAGTGTTAGCATCCATTGGTGAGTCTTGCCTGATTTGGGAACAGCTGTTCTAATCCTCATAGCCCTATGAAGTTCAGAATATCTTATCCCTCCACATATAAAGTTAATTAAAAGAAGGTTCTACTGGTAGCAAGTAATAGAGGTAGAACACTGACCCTTACAGTCTTGACTCCAGTGCCTGCACTTTCACCCTGGAGATAAGAGGCCTTCAGGGAGTTCAGAGTCTATTCAGGGAGATGAGACTTAAAACACAAATATTATACCTCTACTTTTAGCACAGGGCTACCTAATGAATTTACTGAAAATAAACACCAGAGGGTGTTCTTGCCAGAAATGCATAATCTGAATTGGATTATAAGGAAACCTTAGACAAACCCAAAGTGAGGGACAGTCTACATAACCAGTTAGTACTTGTTAGAATATCAAGGTAATGAAAGACTGAGGAACTGTTCCAGATCAAAGGAGACCATAGAGACAGACAACTGAATCCAACTTGGAATCCAGAATTTTCTTTTCTTATAAAGGGAATTATTGGGACAACTGGTAAAATCTGAATAACATCTGTGGATTAGTTAATGTCAATATAATGCTTTGATTTTGAGGATTGTACTGAGATTATACAAGAAAATGTACTTGTTTTTTGGGAAATTTATAGTTTAAGGATAAAGGGACATAAAGTGTATAACTTACTCTCAAATGATTCAGAAAAGGTATATCTCTATATAATTTATGCATATTTAAGTAATAAAGCAAGTGTGATAAATTTTAATGTTTGGTAGTCTGGATGAAGGGTTTATAGGAATTCATTGTATTATTTTTTAAAATTAGGTGAAAGTAAAAGTAAAATAAACCAGGAAAATGCTTACCTTTGGGGGATGGGGAGTGACTGGAAGGAGTATGAAGTGGACTTCTGAGTGCTTATAATAGTCTATTTCTTGATCAGGTGCATTTAG